ATGAATACGAATAATATTAGTGCCACCCTGAATAAAAGCATAGATCGCACAACTGATATAGACACTAGTAATGCGCATAGTGGCCAGCAACGTTATAGCACATCACCCTACACCCCCTTTAATTCCAATGACCGAACTCGCATTCCTCGTACACAGTTACTCGAAGCGATAAGCAGTAGTAGTGGAAGTGGTGGCACAAAGGCAAAAGTCTTTTTCTCAAGACGACTTTCAGCGGTGCAGAAGGTCCAAGGTGATTGTCTGAATATCGCCAATATGAGCACTAGTCCATCAGGGCGGCTAGATCCGCTTGTACCGCCTGCAGTGGAATGGAGCGAAACGCCAAAACTTAAATTAAATGACATAACAATGCAGGAAAATGCAATTTCCGTTAATGTAAGTACCAAATACACATCTGTGGCCATATATTATAACATCTTAAGTTCAGTTAAGTCAAAATGGAGTTAATGTCATATTATGGTTCGTCTTTTTACAATCCACATTTGGATCCAATTCGTTTTCAAATTTTTCGTTTTTCGAAGAAGTTATCACGGTTAACTTTTCAACGTCCACACTTTTTGAATACATTTCCTACACCAAAAATATCTTAAGTAAAGATAAGTTATTTGAAATGTCTTCAAATATATACTAGACAATTTTTAACAGATTTAATATAATGAAACATCATATGTTTACTTAGGCGTTTATGCATAAAATAACTTTCCAGATTTCCATCACTTAAATGGGCATAAGTGCTTAGGATAAAATTAATATTATCCAATAGGTAAAATGTGTCGTTTTGCAGAACATCTTAAGTCCCTGCTAAATTTTCGTTTGACGATAACGGTGTTTTAAATTAACATAAGTTTGTTTTTGTGCGTGTTCATATCGTATATTTTTCTACATAAGCTGTTCAGTTGCTGAAAGGCTGTTGAGTTGTTAAGTTAAGACTATTTGCTTATAACAATGGAAAGTAAAAATCTATTTGCCATATTAGACATTAACAATGTGAGTAATGTTGATTTTTCTAGTGATGATTCGGTTGTTGATCCTAGTTTTAATATAAGTAATTTTACTGCGCCCAGCTCAGATGCAGAAAGCGAAGTTGTAAGTGTTTTACTACATACACACTCAGTTATTGGCTTGTAATAATAAAAATTTATGTAAATTTAGGAAAATTCGAAAAGTGTTGCAAATGAAGTGGTACTAAAGAAAAGCTCACACACGTCGCGAAAAGAATTAAGAAACCACGGGAAAGTTATACTTCAACAGCTGGAAAAATTGTTCCTGCTCGTGTT